AGAGGGAGATGCAATGCAAGGGGCTTAAGGCAAAATTTTGTAACCCTAATAACAGAGCTGGAGCTGCTGTTATATAGACCAAGGGGGGGGAAAAGGGGGGAAAATGGAGGGAAAACAATCCAAGTTTCCCTCCAAAAATGCACCCCCCCGGATACACAATCTGGGGGGGAAAGAGATGCATATTTGGAATGTGCCTGCAGCAAGGAGCATGGCCGGCCGGTTATCTAGGGTTTAGGTGGCCGGCCGGCTACCTCCCATGGCCGGTCGGTTAGGGGTCAAAAGGGTCAAGAAGCATTAGTGGCCGGCCACCCCAAAAAGAGAGCCTCTGATGTGTGCACAACACAACCAAGTGGTTAAAAACTGGAGAAAATGAACCAGAAGGGAGAACAACCCACTTTTCAAAGGAGTTCAAAAGGGTCAAAAGCAATTACTGGCCGGCCACCAAATATTGGTGGCCTCCCAGATGTGTACATCACAAATATGGGGTTTAGGGTGCAAGAAAATGGCCCAAGGGTGGTCAACATTGGCTTTGAAGTGAGGAAAAACGGGCGACGGTGGGCGATGGAGGGATAAAGCTGGCTGACAGAACAATTACTAGCCTCCCACCCTTCTACGGCCTTCTTACCAATGAAACAGAGGTCCCTGCCAAAAATGAACCCAAACTGATGTAGAATGAAGGTTCGGGGGCCGAAACACGCAGCCCGAGGCCCCGAAAACTGGCTATTAGGCACCGGAAGTGGTGTCCGACCACGAAGTTGGTCTCTCGGACCGCAGTGTCCCTCAAAAGGGAGCAAACAAGATGCATGCCAAAAACTGGAGCAAACGGAGGTGGTTAAGCGGTCCCGAACCGAGGCACACGGCCAACGGCTCCGAAAAACCGAAAACCGGACTCCAAACGGGCAAAACGGCCTACGACCACGAAACGTAGCCTACGGGCACTGAGAGATGATCTACGAGACCTCTCCCTCCCTTCGCGAAGAGAAAACAGAGAAAACAGAGCCTGGTTTGCAAACCGAGGCAAAGCATGAAAGAGTCCAGAAGTCCGGAGGCAAGGCTCGCGGCCAAGACTCCGAAACCTCTGAACGAGCACGATATGCAACATCACCAAGCGCTCAATCGATGACGTCTGAGTCTTAAGGTCGGTCAAAAATGGGGTGTCTATAACATCACACCGGTATTCAGCGACGCTTCAAAAACGTCGTAATAGCTTTTTTGTTATTTTAAAAATATACCTATAGTGGCGTTTGAAAAAAGCCGCGATAGATTCATTTTTTTTTTTAAATAGATTCAAAATTTTCTTTACTAATTCTGTGAGATGTAACTTAAAAAAAATACATGTAAAATAGCAATAATGAATAAAACTTTACATAGACATATATTTGTTTAATTACTATTCCCTCATATCTATAATAGTACCTAATACAACATCCTTTATGAAAAAAATCCAACAAGTTCAATTCCAAAAAACCAAACAGCCACCTCATGCACAGTTTCACACCATCCAACAACAATCTAATATAGAAGGCAATTAGAATTGTCTTAAAACACAAATTGACTCTCTTCTGTAGAACATATTACCATCTACATCTAAACAATAACCTATCTATGAAGAAATTTAATCTCCATTGGTACAAACAACAGATATTTTGAAACACTATATCCATCATCACAACGTTTCTAGATTGAGATTCTGAAACTATTACTGGGACAGCCCGGAGGAACCCATGCTTCCAGATTCACAATTCCTCTATTAAGAACAAAATGTTCCTTAGAAATGCTGTCAGGCAATGTAGCATACTCAATAATGAATACACTATACCAATACATAGAAATAGAAATAAAATGGTCCTAGTCCTATATGTACCAGGTTGCAACTTGTAAGAATGGGAACATGAATCCTATGTATCTCATAACCTCAAACCATCTTCCCGTCCAATAAGCATACCAAAATTTATAGTTGGAATAATTGGGTACAGACCTAACTTTAAGGCATTATTTCAAGTTCAAACCCACAACCTTAAGGTTGATATGCTAAGTTTTAACAAAGGGAGCTTCCATCCACCTCACAGTAAAAGAAAGCTGCACATGCACAATTCAGAGAGAGAAACATAAGTTTAAACCTTTCTGACCCTCTTACAAAAACAGAAAGCATATTTGACATTATGAAAATCTGCATACCAAGTGCATTTTCTCATATGTCACAGTGAGGCACAGCATTGGGGTCAGCAAGCCCGACCTTTACATGTTGATTAGCAAGCTTATTACACCTGTGGACCTGCAACATTGATGCATCTTTATAAAATTTGGAAAGAGTGGCAATCCAAGAGGCCTATCGTTTAATTTAAGCACAACCAAAATAAACCCTAGCAAATTTTTGTGCACTCTACCCCAAACAAAACACAATCACCCCCAAGCCTTTCGCTTCTAATTAAAAGATAACTAGATACCAACAATTGGGCTTGTGCACTCTACCCCAAACATTAACAGAGTCACCTCCAAACATAAACTTTGGTTCTATTTAAACAGATAACTAGACACCAACATTTGGGCAACAAACAAGAGAAAGCATCAATCAATTTCAATTTTCAACAACTGATGTACCATACCCATGATAAGTAACTGGAAGTTAATATTTTGCAATGAATAAACCAGTTGACTCAGTCAATTCCATATTTAGATGGTATTTTCTTATTTACAATCAGTTTCAGGATCTTAAAAGCCTAACTCAAGTTCAACCAATGGTAGACAAATAAGAATTACATTGTTAGGGGAAAAGTATTGATCTAAAGGGAATGGGCCAATTAACACATAATCATTTATAATTATCCCATCAAGTAAACTATACACCAAAGTCAAATTAGGCAAAAAATATTTTGTAACAAAGTCTATGCAAGAAAATAGATAAATCCATTTGAAATAAATAGACCATAAAACTCAGAGAAAAACGGGGCCATTAAAGTCTCATGAAAACAATACCAATTCCTTGCCAAGCTCGACATCATCTTGGTAGTTGCTCTGCTTGCCTTGACTACTCCCACAAAAGACACAAATACTCTTGAACACACAAAGATATGTACACACATAGCTAATACACACAAACTTAACTTAACAAGATATCATAACATTAAAAACAAAACTTAAACTTACATCACATGTGCCTAAAGAATCTTATGGTTATGGTCTCTTTTTATATAAATTATTGCTTTATACCATCATGATGCTTCACATAACCATCTAATCATTATTTATGCACAGCAAATAAAAGTGAATTTACATAAAAGAAAAAAAGATTCATTGTAATTTCCATCAGCTAGGAATATGGCTATTCATGACATGAGTGATACTGAGCAGGAAAATAGAATTTACATGTGGCTTCCTAATCAGCTCCTTGAGAATAGAATGAAGTGTTAATCGGAGTTCTTTGAAGAGGACAGCAATTAGGGCAGGTGCTACCAATTTGGACGGTACGTGTATTTTTAAAAATAAGCCATCCATTTTTTATTTTGTTTTGTGACAAATAAGATAAATTGAGCAAATTACGTTTATTGAATCGATTTAATTTTTTTTATGGAATATATAAATGAAGAATCCTACAAAATAAACGTTTGAATTATCAAAACAGAACCCGTAATAAATTTCACGAGCCTAAATAATATCCTCCAATTCAGATCTAAACTAGAGGCAATTCAGATCCTATATATAAAATAAATGCACAGCATGACCCTTCACCATATTGTTCCCTTAATGCTGTGGACACTGAACATTGATTTGTTTGGTGAGATAACCAACATTACACACAACTTAAAACAATATCATCAATTCATTATTATAACCTCCAACAGAGAAATAACACCTAATAAAAGTAGGGAAAAAGAAGTGGGAATAAAAAGAAAGCTAAAGCTGAAATGAACAAATTTGAATCATCACAGTTAATTAGGTGATTGCCTTCAAATTCAGAAACACATTGAAAACATATATAGTTTTCAAGATCTTGTTTCTCATTATGTTTTCAATGTGTTTCTTCTCAACAATATATGTTTAGTACCACCTAATTAACTGTGATGATTCGTTACTCTGTCCTTATATGTAACTCTGTCCTTTTAGTTCCTTCTCAAACAATATATTGCATATTTACCAACAAAAAACAAGTGGACAACAACCTAAGCTCATTTGTCTTCAGGCAACCAGTAAACAAAACCATGAAAGGACAAACCGTACCTTCATAAAATTTAGATTTATGAACGTCTGATGCTTGAACACACATCTACAACCAATATTCATACCCAAGTCCATGTAACATAAGTCACACTCGTTGAATAAGCAAGAAACTATTAGATTGGTAGCATATTCTGAACTAGATGAAAATGATTCAGAACTAAGTCCAATGTTCTGGGGATAGCTGTAGAGTGAACCATGATAAAGACTGACATATTTAAGTAAGCAATTGATGTAGCTAAAATTTAGGGTTTTATCATAGCAAAACTACCTAGATACGTGTCCCCAATGCTATGGCATTGGATGCTTCATGGATAAGGTCTGCAGCATGCAACCCAAATATATGAACGCCAAGTATCTCCCCGTTGTCAGGTTTGTATATTAACTGCTAAGGAAGAATAAATCAACATAATTCGGATAAAAGTAAAATAATGAGAAGCATCTAAGTGCAAGAGTATAATTAAATTCTTAAGGTAGAAATTGAAATAGAAGAATACTTACATAATTTTATTTATAATGAGTGAAGGATGAATAATAAAATAGCAAGGTATAAGTTTGACAACATGGTTTAGATCATCACAAGAACTTGTTAATAAGAACAGAAAAATGAATGTGACAATGAGAAAGAATAAAACAAACACAAAGCAGTTATGCAGAAACATGAAAATTGTCGAGTCACTTTTCAAAATAAATTAATCGCTAACATATGGAGAAGAGAATCTGTTAGAGCCTTTGTGTTAGCCTTAAAACTTGTCTTGGCAACACTTATCTCAAACCCCTCTATTTCAGCTCTCTCCTTCGCTTAAGGCTGCAAAATTTTAGATGTTAGTCAACTATAGGTAAATTACAAGAATACGGTGGGTAAGCTTTTTTATTTCACTACCCAATAAGAACAAAAGAGACAATAAAAATGCACACATCCCTTTTTATTTATTTTATTCTATTTGTGGGTTTGGTATGGGAATTGGAAAATTTGATATTCACCTCTGTGAGTCCAACCATTACTAATTTCTAGGTGAGTGAAACAAGCTGCTGGAATGCTCAAATGGTTGAGCACATGATCTTTTCCATTGACTTGTTCAACAACTATATGAAGAGAGCAACGCTAAATATGCAATAGGTGTAAAATGTAAGCATACAGCCTGAAGTAGCAAATAGCAAGGTAATAACCACATACCAGAAATCCCTTGTGCACTAGCAGCATAAGCAAGAATCATTTTCTCATTTGCATCATCAATACAATACAAGTGAGGAACCTAATGGTAGAAGTATTGTTTCAAGAACCAGTTGCAAAACCATACAAAAAATTGTGTTCATGACGGAATGTATAGATAACAAACCAGGTTACCATTTGCGTCAATAACTTGCATACGCTCATCTACTAGAACAAAACCCCATTGTGTCACTACATTGATCTGCAAAAAACCAATACAAGACTTCAACATTGTCTCATGCATATTATCAATTAACACAACATACATTCTCCAGTCCAAGACCTTTTGTAAATGGACCCCTTCCAGTTGCAATTAATGTCACATCTACCTATAGCAAAACAACTGAATTTTGTGATAAAGGGTGAGGTACAACAAACTAGATAAATAAAAAAGCATGGACAGAAAGTAAGGTAGAAAAGTTAGTTGTTGTCTCAAATTGGGTTTTCAAGCTTACTCCATAAAGGAGAGAACCATTGTTACATGGGAGCAAAAATACAATAAAAACCTCAATTTCCACTACTTGATTACATCCACAAAGGAAAGGACCTTTTAATTTCGCCGCTCTGTTAATAGAACATGAAATTTGCTACCAATATCACAGAACTAAAAATTATCTCCGAGGTATCTTTCGGTTCTTTTGTCTTGGCATCAATGAGCTCAATAGTGACTGGTTTCCCATCCTTTGCTTGAGTGATCTATGGAAAGGAAAACACACAGGACCTAGAATTTTAGAAAATCGTAACAATACATCACACAAAAATAAGCAGGAAATTAGCTTGGAAGCAAACACTCCAGTAGAGGATCCTCCAATCTTATCTAATAAAATGTTAAAAATCTGTAATACTAAACTCTAACATCTAAATCCTGCATATGCACCGAATTGAAAATTCTCAACCTTAACCTTGCAACGCAGTTTATGTGACCTCTACTCAGTCTGTATAACAATCTCAGATAACCAGAAAATCATTTTTTTTTAAAAAATAAATAAAAAACACTCACACCCCAAAGAGACAAACGCTAACATAAATATGTTTACACCAAGTCGATAAGAACCAAAAGTCGATATAACAGCATTTGCATCCTCCACCATCTGATCAGTGTAACCTCTAAACAAGATTCTATTGCACCACAAGATACTTAAAAACTAAACATGACAGGGGAAGGGGAAGGAGCTTAAACTTGACTATAAAAAAATAAAAACAAGATTCAGATCATTATAAGAGAAGCCACAAAAAATTTGAAGTAATTTGAGAGGAAACTGAGAGAGAGAACCAAAAGTCAATATAACAGCATTTGCATCCTCCACCATCTCATTTGCTCCCATCATTGAAATGGCCATCACTATTGTTGAGCAAAGTGACTGCCAATACCATGTTTTAGAAATAATAGCAGATGGACCCGTATCTATTTTTGTTTTGGATTTTTTAGTTTAATATGATATTTTGTCTAAGGTAGGTTTGTTTTAATTGCCTGATGTGCCGTAACGTATATTGCAAATGGCACATATGAAGCCAAACTGCCACTTTTGCCTGATGATATGCCTAATGGTATTGTGTGTAAGTAAAGTTTAGTGGCAATAGGTATACGAAACTCGAGGTCTATATTCCAGTTATCAAGTTCTCTATCTTGCTTTGTTGATCACATTTCAACTTCAGACTCTCAAGGTCCTATTAATTACTAGTTGTCATAGGTGACAGGAGCTAAGGGTAGTTTTGATCCAAGCCCCCTGGAAGAGGAAACTATTGACGCTATTGTGAATGCAAGGTAACTTTCAGGTTGTAAATTTCCTTTGTGATAGCTCTATTGCCAAAACACTTCAAATGCCAAAACATTTTCAAATGTGCTTCTTGTTTATTTGTAGAGAATATCCATCGACAATAATTGTAGTTGGGGTTGGAGATGGACCATGGGACACGATGAAGAACATTCTTGGGCACCGTTTTGTTAGGAACTGTAAGAATTTCCAAGCAAGTATTAATAGGAGTCTAGCAGACAATTGAAGTTCATCTTGTGAATTTTACAAAAATTATGTCAAAGGATATGGACATATCTAGGAAAGAAGCAGCATTTGCTCGAGCAGCCTTGAGGGGAATACTGTCACAATATAAAGCAACATTAAAGCTTCAAAAATCGTGGTAACAATTAGAATTCTCTACATTAGAGTTGAGGATTTGGCTTTTATGTCCATGGTCAAATTTTGTATAATTTATTTATTTATGTTAATTTGTTCAATCAGTTGTCCTAGTGGGCAGGCTATAGTCAGGGTTCCTCTGCCCCCTCAACCCATATCAGAACATCCACAGCCTAGTAGTTTCCGCCCAAGTAAACCTGATTTCGATGGACATAATGTGCCCACCGGGACAAGTCAACCTGCAAGTTCTACTTCAGATAACCATGTAAATGCATTTTCAATCACTTTTCTAAAAGAACATCTTTTTTTCTCTCTTTTTTTGTAATTCCCTATTTTCTTGTTTTCGGCCTCCTTTAGTTGTAGAATAATGAATTGCAATATCATAAAACACAGTTTGTGGTTCTTGTATGATCTTACGCTCCATTTGCTTGACCTTTTATGTAGTCAATAGAAAACAAGCCTGTTTGGATTGAAAATGTTTTTCATTTTCAAAAGGGTTTTCTGGACTAAAACCTTACTTACCAATGTTGCCACCACCACCTCCATGCAAGGGCGGGCATAGGGCTGGGCATAGTTGGCTGTAGCCCAATCCAAAATTTAAAAAATCTGTAGAATTTTTTTTTTCCCAACCTAGTCTCGCCCCAAATAAGGGCCAATAGTTTTTTTATTTGTTTTTCAGATAGGCAGCCCAATAGCAGCCCAATACTTACCCAAAAAAATAGATAGGTAGCTCAGTAGGTTTGTATTTGTTTAAAGAACAAATCTTCCAAAACAATCTTCACATCTTCCAATAAATAGGCAACGGGCCTCTCCATCGTCTCCAACAACCTATAGCAGCTCCACTTTCCTAACATTTTTGGTAAGTGTAATTAATCAATTATTTTATTTCGTTGGTTGAGAATAGATTTGATTAATGGTTTTGAAATTTTGTCTTTATACAACAAATATTATATTGTTCTTATTTTTTTATGATGTTGTCTTATTCAATATTCTATATTGCTCTTGATTTTTGAACTTTGAAGGAGTTTTTTTGGACATATATAAAAATAATGAAAGCTTAAATAAAAATTATCGAGGATGTATATAAAAACCCTAATATTTAAAATTATTATGAATATACTCTGATTTAATTTTAAATTGGGCTAATTTTTTTTTTTTAAAAAATTAGGTTATAAATAATGGAACCTCCACACTCAAAAACGGAAAAACCATTTTCTCATTCTATCAATCAAAACAGAAGTTTAGTAGTACAACATCCAATGTTGTTGAAATCTCATTTTGTGACGTTCAACCGCCTTCCATGCTTCAAGCAAATAAACCAAGCTAATTTGATTCAACTGTTATTGAACGGAATCATGATTTACACTTGCAAATTTGTGAATATCCGGTTAATCAACGGGATGAGGTTAGACAAGCTTATGTAAACTTGGGGCTTTATCAACCTAAACTTGAGTATCCTAGGTCCTCATTTGGAAAGCAGAATCGCCGATTTCAACATATTTGGTTTAAACAATTTTCTTGGCTAGAGTATTCTCCTTCAAAGGATAAAGCATATTGTTTTTCATGCTTTTTGAAAATTGAAATAGATTCTGTAATCGATGAATTCAAATATTTAAAGACTCATCGAACACAACTCAGTTAGATTGTTTCTAATCAATAAATTTAGATGTTAATCTAGATTATATTATTAAGTTCTCTTTTTTCTTATGTGGTTATACTTAAAATATATTGTATAATTTTACCTTAATATTAGCCCATCCCATTGACAAATCCTAGGTCCGCCCTTAACTGTGCATCATTTGATTTTACGGTGGATGTTTTGAAAATTTTGTTATTACTATTCATCTATTCATCGAAAGTGACCCATAGCCTATATTTTCAAATCTTTCGCGTGATGATTTCTTCTGCGTGATTTCTTTCAGCATCCATTTCCACGTTATCCAACAAGCAGAAGAGCATCTGCCTCCCCAACGACTAGTATTTTGTGTACAAATAGAAGTGTTTTGTTGGGAAAAGAAAAATAAAAAACTTGAAGAGAAAAAAATATGTGTGTTCCAAAATTTTGATTGTATTTTTTCACTCTGCTCTTTCACTTTCAAATCTAAGTGTTGTCTTTATTCTTTACTTTTTGTGAGAGAACTATTATAAAAGAGGGTTGAATTACCTTCTTAATCCCTTATTGATTATTTTGTGAGAAAAATTTGTATAGGTGAGACATTTATTGTTGAGTGAAACTCAACAGATAAAGAGTAAGACCTGTGTAAAATCCACAAGCTTGGTGAAGTTTTGGTAGTGTATTGATTTGTTTTGATAGTGAATAAATTCTCGAGGATGATCCTTAAGAAGTGGATGCAGGCTCGGCATGCCGAACCACTGTAAATTGTTGTATTTGATTTTCTCTCCATATCTCTTTCACTTTTATATTGATTATTGTTGCTTTGTTTTTTATTTGTTAAAATTTGAATATTTTGTTTATTATAGTTAATATTGTGAAATTATTTTTAAAACCCAATTCAGCCACTCTCTTGTATTGCCTACTTGGGATAACAATTAGTATCAGAGCGAGAACTCTAGTATTTTTGACTTAACCATCTTAGAGTAGATTATGGTAACTCCTACTTATTCATTATCTGAAGGACTAACATCCAATAGACCACCATTGTTTAGCGGCACAAACTTTAGTTATTGAAAACCAGGATAACCATACACATACAATCTAATGATTATGAGTGTTGAAAAATCATTTGTAATGGTTCAAAACCCCTTACCAAAAAGATACCAAAACCTAAAGAAGAGTGGACGGAAGCTGATATAAGAATTGCTCAAGCTAATGTTAGAGCCACAAATATGTTGTACTATGCTTTAGATGTCAACGAGTTCAATAAAATTTCCACATATAAGACAGCAAAAGAAATTTGGGATAAACTCATAGTGACTCATGAGGGAGCAGATCAAGTTAAAAAGTTTAAAGTTAGCTTACTAGTCCACAATTATGAGCTTTTTAAGATGAAACTTGATGAAACTATTACTGAAATATTTACTTGTTTTATTGATATTATAAATGGTTTAACCTCTCTTGGTAAAATATATACTAATGTTGAAATTATATGTATATATATATATATATATATATAAAGTGCTCAGGTCATTACCAAAAAGTTGGGAGACAAAAGTCATTGCCATCACAGAAGCCAAGGACTTATCAAAGCTAAGTCTAGACGAGCTAATGGGACCTTTTCTCACACATGAGCTCATCATGAAGGAAAGAGATGAAGAAGAAGATAACAAGAAAAAGAAAGGAATAACTTTCAAAACTACTGCTTCTCGTGAAGAAGATGATGAAGAAAATTCAAAATTTGATGATGAAGAAATGACCTTCTTAACAAAAAGGTTCCAAAAATTTATGAAAAAAACTTAAGAGGGAAGAAGATTTTTCAAAAGAGATTTTAACAAAAGAGAATATAGTAGAAAAGATTTTACAAAAGGAGAAAACAATAAGAAAACTAAAATAACTTGTTATGAGTATAACAAGACGATCGCTTCAAGGTCGATTGTCCAGAAATCAAGAAACAATACAAGAAAGACAAAAAAAGAGCAATGATTGCTGCATAGGGAGATAGCAACGAAAGTGACTCAGAAAATGACGACAACAAAAATGAAGTTGCCAAACATATGCCTAATGGCATTTAGAGATGATGATGAGATAAACAATAAGTCTTATTCTTTTGATGAATTACAATCCGCATTTGAAGAATTGCATGATAAATTTCAAAAACTTGGCATTGAAAATATTGTTCTTAAAAAATAGCTTTCAATTTCAATAAAAGAAAATAAATCTCTATCTAATAAAATTGAAGAATTAGAAAAAGATTTTTAAAAATTAAAAGAAGAGAATGAAATTTTAAAATCAAAAGAATCCCCTATTTTACAAAAGGAATTAAATGATTTCAAAATTGAAAATGATTCTTTAAAAAAGGAGAAAGTTGTTTTAAACGAAAATATAGAAGATTTAAAAAATATTCTTTCAAATTTTACTCAAAGAGGAGACACTTTGGATAAACTTCTTAAAAGTCAAAATTGTACATTTAGTAGAGCTGGAATTGGTTATTAACGTTTTTCAAAAGGAAAAACTTTCAAAAATGATTTTATTTATGCCTTTTTTAGACGCTCACATTTCATGTGTCATTTTTGTGGTAAAAAAGGTTATA